TTTTTTTTTTTTTTTTTTTGCCAAGTATATCTTCATCCATTCTTTTATTTTTGACTTCTGTCACTGATTAAGTTTTCCATTTTTCAGATAATTAAAAGGAAAAAAAGGAAGTTATATATCCTACTTCTCTTATTCCAATTGTTACTTTTAAAATTTTAACAGTTATAATCAAACATGTTTTTCTGTCATTTTAGAATTGATCAATAACTATATCCTCTCCTGAACATAACAAGAATCTAAGCATTTATATATTCTCCTGCACTGCCTCATGTATGTTGCAATTACCTAGAATTTTAGTTCTAGATTTTTAACTTTCTTTCATCTTCTAATCAATAATATTTAAACTTACCTGTAAATTCTACTTGGTTTTTTTTGCCTACCACTGCTTCTTGTATCCCATGTTTTCCTTTTATGATTCATTTTTTATTTTGCCATCCTTGAGTAATTATTTTTTAAATGCTGCATTGGAGGTAAAAGTTTTCGAGTTTTTGCAGAGCTGAAGATGTCTTTATTTTAGCCTCTCGCTTTAACACCTTGCTAGGAAAAGAATTCTAGGTTCAATTTTTTTCCTTTGGGGGCTTTATAGTATTTTTACATGTCTTTTAGGAACCAGTGTTGCTTATTTTTGTTTTTGCCTAGATTTGCTGTTTTCTCCTCTCCAGAAGCTTTTAGACTTTTCTGTTTAACCTTAAAATTTTGTCATAGTGTATAATAATAGTTACAGCTATTACACTCCATCCCCCATATCATATCAGCTTTACATGCACTGACTTACTAGATCTTCACAACACCTCTGTGAGGAAGCTCTTATTTTATTGTCCACATTTTATAGAAGGGAAAACTGAGGCATTGAACAATTAAATAACTTACCCAACTTCATGCCCAGCAAATGAGTTTCAAAGCCAAGGTTTGAACCCGAGAAATCTAATTCTACAATCCTAAATATCCCAACTGAGCTACTTTCCCATCATAGGGCTTAGCACTTGGGTATATGCTTTCAATCTAAAATTTGATGCCTCTCTTCATCTTAGAGTAATTTTTTTTAGTTATTTCTTTCATTATTTCTTTCCTTCTGTTATCTCTGTTCTCTGCTTTTGTAACTTCAGTTAGACAGGGTTGAGCTTTCACATCTCTTAACTTTTCTTAGACATTTTTCAATCAATATGAGCTATGTGATTTCTTCAACTTTGCCTTCTGTATAACAAAATACTTTTTTTGTTGTTATTTGTTTTTTTCTGTTTTTGCAGGGGAAGATTCGCCCTAAGCTAACATCTGTTGCCAATCTTCCTTCTTTTTTCTTCCTTTTTTTCCCCTCTCAAAGCCCCAGTACATAGTTGTGTATAGTCGTAAGTTCTTCTGGTTCTTCTATGTGAGCCGCTGCCACAGCATAGCTACTGACAGGTGAGTGGTGTGGTTCTGTGCCTGGGAACCAAACCCCACGCCACCAAAGCAGAGCACGCCAAGTTTTAATCGCTAGGCCATCAGGGCTGGCTCCAAAATCCATTTTTAGCTCTATCGCATTAACAATGTTCATTCATTACTCAGTTCTTCTATTGAATTTTTAAATGAATTTAAATTTTTTTCTTAATTTCCAAGAACAGTCTTCTTTTGTTGCTCTTTCTTTATAATAGTCTGCTCCCATACTGTGAATACAATACCCTCTAGGTTAAGTTCTGCACACTCCACTTTGGCGGTCCAGGTTCACGGGTTTGGATCTTGGGGGCAGACCTACACTACTTGTCAGGAGGAAGATTGGCACAGATGTTAGTTCAGGGCTAATCTTCCTCAGCCGAAAAAAAAAAAAAAGAAGAAGAAGAAGAATTTTTAAAAGTTTTTTCTGTTCTCTGTATTATCTGCTTCTGTCAGACATTTATTCTTTATGTTCTTATTGTTTTTCTTTTATGTTGTTAGTTTTCTTCAAGTGTTTGGTAATCTTGGCTTTCCATTGAGATTTATAAATAAAGAGTAAGTTGGTTAGTATAGGCAAATGACATAGGTTTTCTCTCACATTCAAACAGGAACTGCCTACAGACTTCTATATATGTGAGCAGGATTTAAATAATCATTTCTGTAGGTCAAAAACAGTTGAAATGTGCAATTTTATATACTTGACAACAATATAAATTCATAAATAAACGTGCATGTGTTGGTGGTGCATGGTCAGATTTTTCATTTGCGGAATATAAAATCAAAAATCTTTGGAGACTGTTGCTATAGTGGATTGATCATAAGCTTTGCAGCTGGGCAGCCTTAAGTTCAAATCATGGTTCTGGTAATTACTAATTTTGTGAATTGAGGTAAGCCCCTTAACTTGTCTGTGCTTCAGTTAGCCCCTTTGTAAAAAAATAAAAAGAATATTATTACCAAGAATTTTTTAAGAATTACAGATAATGTACATAAAGAACCTAAGACATCATAGATTCTTGGTAAATATTAGTTATTTATTATTTTGAATTAATATGTCATTAAATAATATCACTTAGATATAATGAAATTAAGAGTTTAAAAAATAGGTGGTAATGCTATAGATGGAGCATCACTTTTAATTAATTTTATTAATTCCATAGAGTTATTTTAAGAGCCCCCTATGTTGCTAAGGAATTTTTAAAAAGGAATCAATATAAACAGATGATTGGCAGAGCCGGCCGTGCTGGACTAGATTCCGTTGGGGAGAGTATCCTTATATTGCAAGAAAAAGACAAGCAAAAGGTAATACTCAGTCTGCTTGTTGTTGGGTTGTTTTGTCTTTTTTTCTTGGTCTTTGTTCTAGTCCTTTTATGAGATCATCTTTTAAAAATTAATTATTAATAGTCCTTTAAATAATGTTTCCTTAATCTCTATGATTAAGGCTTATAAAGAGTAGTTTGAATACTTTTGTATTTCAGGCAAATAATGAAAAGTATTTTCTGTATTTATCTTTCTTCCATTTTTATGAGAACACACCAAATTCTAATTTTTTTCTTTGTGTTTTTTATCTCTGCCTGCCTCCACAAGATATATGCAAAATATAAAATTTTATATGGAACATGATTTATTTTTTATAATAATGCCAAACATGATATTGCTTTAACTTTTGTAGGTACTGGAGTTAATAAGCAAACCGCTGGAAAACTGTTATAGCCATCTTGTTCAAGAATTCACCAAGGGAATCCAAACTTTGTTTCTCTCTTTGATTGGTTTGAAGGTATTTTTAAATATTTTTAAATCTTATTAATATTACTTCAGATAATAGAGGTTAAAAAGTTATGAAAACTGTCAAGTATGAAAAAAATGTTAACTTGTAATCTAATGTGGAAAAGAACAGTCTTTGACATGATAAATCTGAATCTGGATTTATATGTGCATTTTTAAACCTTTGAGTTGTAAGGAATATGAAAAATTGACAAAACATAACTGGGCATCCGTTACAAGTGAGAGACTTTGGTGGATACTATCGGGAATACAAGGAGCTGTAAAGCACTGGGTCCTGATGCGGGATAATCCAGCATCTCTGCTCTTGTTAAGAATAAGGTTCACCTGTAGTCCTGTGACCATTCTAGGATATTATAAACATTTGTGTGATCAGTATAACCCTTATCAGGCAAAAAATTAAAAAAAAAAAAAAAAAGGAAAAAGGGCACAATAGGAAAACTCTTTTTCCTAAGATTAGAAATTAGCTCTCCTTTTTTAGAGTTACTCTTGACTTGAGTTAAACCTCTTTTTTAGGGTTATTCTTAAGTAAATTTTAACTTTGTGCCCAGGGTCACTTGACTACTACGTGGCAAAGCCAGGGTTTGAATTCAGCTTTGTCTAGCTACAAAACCAGTGCTCTTAACCCATGATGCAGTCTATCTTCATTAACCTGAATAGTTTAAGTGAAAACAAAAAGGTAATTAATAAATAAAAGATACCATGAGACAAGCTTTGAGTACATTGCAGATGAATGGCATAATATTATAATAGCCCCTGGTGGTTTAGAAGAGTGAAAGTCTACAAGGAAGAAAAGGAATTAGTGCTGGGTATTGAAGGAGAGAGGTTTTAGATAAGCAGTGGGAAGGGGTAAGCCATTCCAGGTACTTAAAACAGAATGAAAGATGAGAAAGCTTAAGATGATGTGGGGCAACAGTCAGTCGACTTGATATTGTACCTGTAGAGGAGGGCTGAAGATCCTGAAGAGTAGGAGTTGGGTGGAAAAAGTTGGGCCAGACTGTGTGCTGTAGATTAGGGAATATGGGAGAGTGTGCTTAAATACCAGATTAAAGAGTTGTGACATGGCCACTCTTCAGTGGAGAATTAGTAAAAGTGTTCTTTGGTTGTTTAGAGCAAGGGCTCCAATATCACACAGACCTGTGTCCTGGTCCCAGCTCTGTCTCATATTACCCTGGGCAAGTTACTAGCTCTCTCTTGAACCTCACTCAGTTCCCTCATCTATAAAATGGGGGTAGTAGTATGCAGAAGTATTGCAAGACTAGTTTGAACTTTATTTTTTTTTTCCCCCAAAGCCCCAGTAGACAGTTGTATGTCATAGTTGTACATCCTTCCAGTTGCTGTATGTGGGACGCAGCCTCAGCATGGCCAGAGAAGCGGTACGTCAGTTCGCGCCCGGCATCCAAACCTGGGTCGCCAGTAGCGGAGCGCGTGCACTTAACCACTAAGCCACGGGACCGGCCCGAAGACTAGTTTGGAAGCTTTTGTAGTAATCCATGTATAATGTAATAAAGACCTCCAATAGGAGGATTGTGAAGGAATTAATAAAGGAGGGAGAGAGATCTTGAAGATCCTCAAGGCTTATTACATTTATATGTTAGATAAGGTAACAGACTCAGAGAATTAGTGATTAGTTTAAGGTCATTCGATGAGTTATGGTTTAGATAGGACTATAATCAGGTTCCTGCCTTGCTGGCCTGTGTTCTTTCCCGTGTGCCAGTGTGTATGTGGAACACTCACCACGTGCACATGAAGCATTCACCAAGGTAGACCACATTCTGGGCCATAAAACAAGACTCAATCAATTTAAAAGGATTGAAATCATATATAGTATGGTATCTAATGACAACAGAATTATAGTATACATCAATAATAGAAAGATATTAGAGAAATACCCAAACATTTGGAAATTAAATAGCATACTTTGACCTGTAGTCAAAGTAGAAATCACAAAGGAAATTAGAAAATATTTTGAATGGAATGAAAATGAAAACAAACATATTGAAATTAGTAGCATACAGCTAAAGAAGTGCTTAAGAAGAAGAAGCTTTAAATGCTTATTAGAAGAAAGATCCAGAATCAGTGACCTAAGTTTCACCTTAGGAAGCTAAAAAAAACACACACCAAAAAACCCCACAAAGTAAGTAGAAGGAAGGAAATAATACAGATAAAAGCAGAAATCAATGAAATAAAAAATAAACAAACAGGAGAAAAAATTAATGAAACCACAAACTAGTTCTTTGAAAAGATCAGTAAGATTACTGATTGAATTGATGAGGAGGAAAAGAGAGAACACATAAATTACCAATATCAGGAATGAAAGGAGGGTCATCACTAAAGATCCTGACGATACTAAAAGGGTAGTGAGGGATTATCCTTGAATAACTATCCTTGAATACTGAAAAATGAATTCAACAACTTAGATGAAATGGAGAAAATTCTTGAAAGATACAATTCCCAAAATCAACCATTTAGAAAATCTAAACAGACCTATATCTATTGAAGAAATTAAATTTATAATTTAAAACCTTCCCACAAAGAAAATTCCAGGCCCAACCAATTTCACTGGTGAATTCTATCAAACATTTAAGGAAGGAACAATACCATTCATTCACATATTCTTCCAGAAATTAGAGGACGGGGGAACACTAGTCATCTCATCTTATGAGACCACCGTTACTCTGATACCAAAACCAGACAAAGATAATACAAGAAGACAAAACCACAGGCCAATATCTCTTGTAGACATAGACATAAAAATCCTTATCAAAGTATTAGTAATCCAGCAATACATTTTAAGAGCAATATACCATGATCAATCTGAGTTTATTCCAGTAATGCAAAGTTGGTTTAACATTCAAAATTCAATCAGTGTAATTATCCATTTGACAGAATTCAACACCCATTCATGATAAAAACTCAGCAACCTAGGAGTAAAAGAGAACTTCTTCAACCTGCTAAAGGGTGTTTATTAAAAAAAACTACAGGTAGCATCACGCTTAATAGTGAAAGACTAAATGTTTTTCTTCCTAAGATCAGGAAAATAAAAGATGTCTGCTCTCACACTACTATTCAGCATATATCAGAAGTTGTAGCTAGTAAAATAAGACAGGAAGAAAAATAAAGGCATACAGATTGGGAAGGAGGAAGTAAAACTATCTTATTTTGATGACATTGAGTTTGAGAAAAATCCAAAGGAATATACAAAAAAAAATGGGGGGAGTTAGCAGTGTCACAGGATACAGGGTCAATGTACAAAACTCAATTGTGTTTCTGTATACTCACTACAAATGATTGGAAGAACAATTCCATTTACAATAGCATCAAAAAACCTGAAATACTTAGGGGTAAATTTAACTAATATGTATCACACTTAGACACTGAAAACTCTAAAGCGCTGCTCGGAGAAATTAAGGAAGACCTCAATAAATGGAGAGAGATAACATGTTCATGAATTGAAACACTCAGTTTTATTTATATGTTACTTCTTCCCGAATTGATCTGTAAATTCACTGCGATCCCAATTAAAATCTCAACACTCTTTTTGGGGAAATTGCAGGCTGATACTAGAATTTATTTGGAAATCCAGAGAAGTAAAATAGCCAAAAATAATTCTCTTAAAGAATAACAAAGTTACATGATTCATACTATTTGACTCCAAGACCTACTGTAAAGCTTCGGTATTCAGGGGCAAAGACAGACATATAGACCAATAGAATAGTGAGTCCAGAAGTAGACCCATGCATATATGATCAACAAAGGTGCCAAGATATTTAAGTGGAGAAAGGATAGTTTTTTCAATGAATGGTACTAGAACAACTAGATATCCATATGGAACAATAAAAAATTAATCTGTTCAGAAAAATTAACTCAAAATGGATCATAGACCTAAACTTAAAAGCTAAAATAAAACTTCTAGAAGAAAATATGAGAAAATTTGTTGTTACTTTGGGTTAGGCAAAAATTTCTTACATGGGAAACAAATCATGAAAGAAAAATCAATCAAATTGATTTCATCATAATTAAAAAATTCTCTGCAAAAGACTGCTAAAAAAAAGAAAAGGCAAGGGGGAAATAATCATAATATGTACATCTGACGAATGTATATGTCATGAGTTAAGACTCAACAAAAGGCAATGGAGTTGGGAGGGAGTTGGAGCTTCCCTTGAGACCAGGGCATTCAGGTAGCAGGGAGACTGGGGGAACCGTCTTGGCGACAAGAGTGTGGTTTAACGGGCCTGGCGATGCAAAATCCGCAGGGCATAACCGTTGCGTTTAAATTCTGTTGTAACAATTGGAGCACAGCAGCAACAAGTCCAGGCAGCAGTGGGTTCAGATTAGCAGGTAGGGGGCTGTTGTTCCCAGCCTGCCCACAGGAGGTAGAACTCAAGCTATTGGGCCCAGTCCTGAGGATAGGCCATCAGGGTTCCTCCTACTCCTTGGGGTAGGGGTTCACAACACAGCTCTAGTTGTGGAAGGAGGCTGGAATTCTACAGGGTGCAGAACCCGGAAAATCTTGAGAGTTAGAATTGAAGCAGAAGTCAAGTCCTCTGGACTGGAACAACCAGGTGGGATAGGGATGAGAAGCAAGAAGGGCTAGAATGTGAGGTCAGGAGGCAGGAGGGTAGAAGTGACCATCCATGGAGAGACTAGGTCCATATTGGGTGGAAGAGAAGGAAAGTCCAGGAGAGCATAACAGTTGTTGGGCCATAGGATCCAGGGAGCCTCCCATTATTGTTTATTTTATCACAAGCATGTTTCAGACACCCCACTAGACACTTCAGGTGTTTTATCTCTGATTCTTGCATACCTTTGAATTAAGTAATATAACTCCCCTTTTACTAGAAGAGAATCCGAGGCAAAGAGAGGTAGGTTGTGTAGGCTGCTTCCAACCACATCCCCGCACTTGCACACTCTGGTCCGTGCTGCCGCAGTCTCTTGCCTGGATCACTGTGATTGTCTCCTAACTGGTCTCCTTGCATCCACCCTGCCCTGCCTTCCCACATCCTCTCCAAATAATTCTTCACATAGATTGATCCTCTCAAAATGTAAAATCCGAATGTGTAACCCCCTCTGCTTAAAATTTGTCAGTGGGTGTTTCCCTTTGCTTTTGGGATTAAGCCCAAATTCCTTTTCATGGTCTGCCACTGTGGATTTTGCCTCTGGCCATCTCTGCATCCTCGTCTCTCACTAGCCTTCTCACACTCTGCGCTTTAGTCATACTGACCTTCTGTTTTCATGTCTCAAACACACTATATTCTCTCCTACTCCAGTGCTCCCTAAGCCTGGGTCTCACCCATCTCACCTCCCATCTCCAGTTTCAATCCCACCCACTCCTTTGTCTGGTGGACTCCCACTCAACCTTCAGATTTTCACTTGACCGTTGCTCCCTCAGGGAAGCCTCCCTCTGCCTCTGAGTCCAGGCAGTCTGTTGTTGTATGCCTGATAGAACCATGTTCCGTTCCTGTAGTAGCACCTATCAGTGTGTAATTGTATTCTTGTTAGTGCAATTATGTGGCTGATAACTTTACCCCACTGGAATGTAAGCCCTGTGACACAGGGACCACATTTATTTTCATTTATCACTGAATCCGAGTGCCCAGCACAGGGCCTGGCATGTGGTTGGCACCTGGTAAATACTTGAATTAATGAATGAATTGACTTTGGAGTTGTGCATGGGTGAACTTGCAGGTTGGGGCAGCAGTGGAGAATCCAGCTCTGAAAAGCTGAGAGGCAGAGGCTGGCCCAGTGGATTTAAATCACTATGTCTAAAAGTTTTCTCAGAGGTGTAGAAAGATAGCATGTTGGTAGCTAGAAGGATCAAGTAAAGGGCTTTTAGGGGTTTTTTTTACCCCCAGTGTTAACTGTAATCAACCAAGTAGAAAAAAATACAGAAACTAACTACATTGATAATCTACAAACTGAGTATCAGTTCTTGAATATCTTAAAAGTGCAATTTTAGCCTAATTGAATACTATATTAAAAATGATTTTTATTAAAAGGAGGAGAAGCAATAGGAAATGTCTATGCTCTGTAATATTTTTTGTTACTCCTTATATCGGTTTAATATGAACTAATTATTTAAGTTTTCCAGTTAAAATATCAGAATGGTGAGAGAAATATGCTTATTGATTGACTATATTTTAGTATAATGTGCTGATTTCATTGAAATTGGCTAATATAAAATTATTCTAATTCAAAGTCAACTCTACATCTGAATACCAAATGGAGGGTTAAGTATTACTTACACATGCCATTGTTAAGTTTTAAATAGTGAATAAAAGGGAGAGAGAAAAAGGCAGCAAAAGAACAGGAAAAGGAGGGACCAGCCCGGTGGTGTAGTGATTAAGTTCACGTGCTCCGCTTCGGCAGCCTGGGGTTCTCAGGTTCAAATCCCAGGCATGGACATACGCACTGCTCATCAAGCCACGTGTGGGGCGCCCCACAAATAAAATAGAAGAATATGGGCACGGATGTTAGCTCAGGGCAAATCTTCCTCAGCAAAAAGAGGAGGATTGGGAATAGATATTAGCTCAGAGCCAATCTTCCTCACCAAAAAAGGAAACAGGAAAAGGAGATGGGAATGAGAGACAAAAAGAGGTAGAAAACTGCTATTTATTTTTAGGTAATATGTCAGAGAAGGTATTGCCTGATCTTGTTTTAGTGGAGACTTTCAGTTGTGTTTTCCATGTGTGTTTTTTTTTTTTTAATAATTTTTAGAGCTAAAGAATGCTTTCACAGGTGTCTGGAAAGGGATACAGGGATGACTTCTGAAGGAGGCTGAGCAAGAATTAGTGATAATTGGTTGGGGAGTAAACAGAGAACTCAGCTCTGGAGATATTGTGAAAAATCATTCAAAAACCTAGGGAGGTTTTTTTTTTTTTTTTTTTTTTGGTGAGGAAGATTGTCGCTGAGCTAACATCTGTGTCCATCTTCCTCCACTTTGTATGTGGGACGCCACCACAGCATGGCTTGATGAGGGATGTGTAGGTCCGCGCCTGGGATCCAAACCCATGAACCCCAGGTTACTGAAGTGGAGCGTGCAAACTTAACGACTATGCCACCAGGCCAGCCCCGACCTAGGGAGTTTTTGAATGAAAAATGTTTGGATGTTTTCATAAAAAGTATGATTATGGTAACTACCTTCTCTCTTTAATTGTTTCTTCTTGTTAATTTAAAAATGCCATTGTAAAATTTACTTTTATTTATGCAACTATGTAGATTTTATACTAATTTTTATTAGCTTTGAGGTATGGAAATAAATTATCATCTTGATGTGCATTCAAAATGGTGTCTTGAATTAAGGAAAATGCTCCAGTGATGTCCCAAATTGTTTCAGATTGCAACAAATCTTGGTGACATATATCACTTTATGAGTGGTACGTTTTTTGGTGTTCAGCAAAAGATTTTGTTGAAAGAAAAAAGTCTCCAGGAAATAACTGTTGAATCACTTAGATACCTGACAGAAAAAGGACTTCTACAAAAAGACACTATTTCTAAGTCTGAAGAAGAGTTCCAACATAGTTTTCATATTACAAAGTTGGGACGAGCTTCTTTTAAAGGTAAGAATTTATCTAAATCTCATTCTTAATCTGAGGAAACGCATTATAAAAATGGAAATTAAATTATTCTGTTACTTTAAATTGGATTTGTAATTTCATATTAATAACATTAATCTTATAAGTTGTTAAACTACTTCAACTTTAAAAAGTTGAAAAAGATTTTGAATTATACGTAATTTAGAATACTGCAGGGCCGGCCCTGTGGCTTGGTGGTTAAGTGCGCGCGCTGCAATGCTGGCGGCCCGGGTTCTGATCCCGGGTGCGCATCAAGGCACCGCTTCTCCGTCCATCCTGGGGCCGAGTCCCACATGCCGCAACTAGAAGGATGTGCAGCTGTGACATACAACTATCTGCTGGGGCTTTGGGGGGAAAAAATAAAATAAATAAAATCTTTAGAATACTGCAGAAGTATATAGAGAAGAAGATGGTCATCCCCCCCACACTCCCCTTCCCCAGCAATCACATGAATTTTAATATGCTACCAAGAATAACAATTTGTTGTATATCTTTCCATTTTTGGTACATTTCATTTCATTTCAATGCCTAATACATACATATATACAGGTTTAAGATTTTTTTAAGCTTTTGTTTTTAAATAAACAATCATTTGTATTATTCCAGAACTAGCTTTTTTGCTTAATATAATATTTTAGAGATTGTTTCATGACAGTGAATTGTTTCTTTCTTAATGACTACATCATAATTTACTTAATGAGAAATAATACATATCTATTGTTTAAAAAATCCTTCAGGGGGCCGGCCCGGTGACTACAGTCATCCATAGTATGGATACCATAATTTAGGCAGTTAAGTGTGCGCGCTCCGCTGCGGCGGCCTGGGGTTCGCTGGTTCAGATCCCAGGCACGTACCGATGCACCGCTTGTCAGGCCATGCTGTGGCGGCGTGCCATAAAAAGTGGAGGAAGATGGGCATGGATGTTAGCCCAGGGCCAGACTTCCTCAGCAAAAAAAGAGGAGGATTGGCAGATGTTAGCTCAGGGCTTATCTTCCTCACAAAAAAAAAAAAATCCTTAGAACTCAGACTTATGTAAAGGAAAATCCCATACTCCTGTCCCATTTCCACTCTCCCAGGGGCAACCACTGTTAACAATTTGGTATATATCCTTGCCAATATTTTTATGTATATGTATATATTTATGTCTGTATGTATATGTGTGTATGTGTATACATATATACACACACATGTGCATACACACATAGTTTATTTTTTTAAATGGAATCATAGTGTAAGTGTTTTTTGGTAGGTTGCTTTTCTCACTGATAAAATTTCATGAGCATCCTAACTTGTCAATCCAAATCTACCTCATTTTCCTTTTAAAACTACAGTCATCCATAGTATGGATACCATAATTTATTTAACCATTCCCCTACTGATGGACATTTGCACTGTTTCTGATTTTTCTCAGTTATAAACAAGGCTGCATGGCATCTCTATTCGTGTATTTTTGGATATGTGTGGAAATGTTTCTCTGGGTTAAAGTCCCAAAAATAGAGTAGTTGAGTCAGAAAGTATATACTTATTAAATGTTGATGGATACTATCAAAATGACCTGAAAATAGTTGTGCTAAATTACATAATAAGAGTCTTTGAAGACTTTTTGCTTTATTTAGGTAACTTCTAAACAAGACTTTCTTTAAAATCACTTCTTTCCCCCTTTGGTAATTATGAACAATGAATTATTTGTGTCTTTTAGGAACTATAGATTTAGCTTATTGTGACGTTCTCTACAGAGACTTGAAGACAGGTCTTGAAGGACTTGTCCTTGAAAGCCTTCTCCATCTGATTTACCTCACAACTCCCTATGACCTGGCTTCTCAGTGTGACCCTGATTGGATGATATACTTCAGGCAGGTGAGAATATAAGATTCTTTAATATAGGCTGCTTAGTTCATTAATGGTGATGTGATTTTTGTCAAGTGATTATTCACTTTTTTCTCTATTAACATATATTTAGAATTGGGCCTTTTGTCTTTCAGTTTTTAAGATAGTAATATGGCAATATCATATTTGGTTTGTTTAACTTAAATATTACTTTTCTGTTAAATATAAACATGTTCATTATCGAAAAAATAAAGATGCAGAAAAGAAAAAAGGATCATCCTGGTCCCATTCCCCCAAAGATAGTTACTGTTATGATTTGGTGACTACTACGTTTTATAATGTGTAGAATGTAAAGAAGCCCGTGAAAGCCGTCTCTGATGATTGAGAGTTTAATTACATGAAAGCTCTGTCAGAGCCGAGCATGATGATACACCAAACCCAGTGATGTTAATACCTGAGAAGGAATATCAATTTTATTGCCAGTAGCAAGATGGAACTGGCCGTACCTGTTACAAAACCAAATGGCAGAGTACAGTCTATTATGATTTTACTGTGAACAGGGTAGATGGATGAAAACGTGTTAGGCAGCAGTGGTATGCAGCTTTCAATTGCAGGAAATTAACTTTCCTTTTAATGTCATATTTTTAAATTGTTATTGTAAGTTTTTTTAAGTGGTATATATAATAATGTTGCTTTCAAAAGCTTTCCCTCTTCTCCCTCCCCCTAGACATCTCCAATATTAAACATAACCACGTAAGTCCATGAAAACCATAGCCCATGGTCACAGTACTTATGACCATTCTTTAAATGATTCTACTAAAGTATGTTATGTTTTAATAATTTTTAAGCTTGCAATATTTGTAAATAAAATTTGTGTTGTTTTTTCATATCCTTTAAAATCATGAAAATGTGATATCGCAGGAAATAGTGGATTTGGTTCAAATGGCAGATTTTTTAAATTACAATGTGATTTTTCTGTATATTTACTCTTTTTCTATGTAGTTTAGCCAGCTCAGTCCAGCAGAAGAAAAAGTAGCTGCTCTTGCTGGAGTCTCTGAAAACTTTATTTGGAAGAAAGCATCAGGTCAAGCTATCAAGAAGGTACCATAGTCTTTTTTTCCTTCCTAAATAACTAAGTTCATTTAACAAAATTAATGCTGTAGTATCATCTCCTTTGTTGACTTAGTCTTTTCGTTTCACATTTTTTTCTTTAAGATAATATAATTCCCCTGTTACTTTTTAAAACATCTGAGGGCCAGAAATTTAAGCATTTTTTTAAAACAGTCTTTATTTCTGGGTAGTGTGATGGCCTTCTTTTGGTACCTTTGTATTTCTGAAATATTCTGTCATGCACATGTAAGACTTTTATCGTAGGAAAAGGTAAACCTTATTAATCTATTTTTCATAGGCTACTTATGGTTTACATTATAAAAATTGTAAAATATTTATAAAATGTTTTCACAATATTATATAATCCTGAAAAAAATTTAATTCAAGGGAGAAAATATATTTTCTAGAAACTTTTTATTAGGCATTCTACTTGGTATCAGAGATTCTAAGATAGGATAGGTTTGGGGTTTTTGTTGTTGTTGCTGTTTTTTGTTGTCCCCAGAGAACTCCCAGTTTAGTATTTGAAGTACATAAAGCATTTTAGAAGGTTCAAGCAGATAAGCTAATATTCTTTTGTGTTATATCTTATATTTCGGTGTTTTAAAATTCAGTAAACAAGCATGAAGCAAGTGTCTAGTGCATACACTGACTTGAAGAGAAGTGGAAATAATTCTTTGGCAAACATGCCTTCAAATTCCTTAAGTTAATATCATTTTCCCCCTCATGATACACTATTTTCATTTTCTTTCTTTTTTTTTTTTTTTTTAGGAAGATTGGTCCTGAGCTAATATCTGCCAATCCTCCTCTTTTTTGCTGAGGAAGACTGGCCCTGGGTTAACATCCATGCCCATCTTCCTCTACTTTATATGGGATGCCGCCACAGCATGGCTTGACAAGCGGTGCGTCGGTGTGCACCTGGGATCCAAACTGGCGAACCCCGGGCCGCCGCAGCGGAGCGCGCACACTTAACGGCTTGTGCCACCGGGCCGGCCCCTATTTTTCATTTTTAATTTTCTTTGGTAATCCCAATCTTCATTGAAACCTAATTATTTTACCTACCGTTTCCCTCCAGTATCTTTTAAATTTTAACAAATAGTACTGATTTCATTTTGAAAAATGGAAGATGGTGTTGACTTACATTTGAATTGAATGGTGCAACTGTTCCACATATTGCTGTATCATAAAATTATAAATATCCATTTAGTACTTCAGCATTCATGTTATCACAATATTTACATTGGGGCTTTCCCCTCAGAAATGGCTACATTGTTTAGACCTTCAAAATGTTGAATTAAAATATTTCTTAAAACAAACCTTTTATATCAAACTCTAAAACATAAAACAAAAACAAAATCATACTAATTTGAAACTCATTACCAAATAATAAGCGTTTACAGAATCTTATTAGAATAATACATCTTTTTAAACTTGAATCAGAATTTATTTTTGTTAAATTTTATGAAATACAATCAATAAATGTTTGTTCAATTGATAATTAAATATTTAAAATAGTATGGGCATGAATTTATCTTAATTACAAGTGGCTTAGCTATTAGTTTAATGTTTTGAAAGTTTCTTTTTCTTAAATTCTAGAGAACATAGTATTTACTTAAAATCTAATTGATTTCTCCACATTGAAAAAGACTCTCCCTTTTTTAAAACGTTTCTTATAAAAGATCTTGAAATTGGCATAAAGCATCTTATCTTGCCGCATAATATAATTATATCATTTTTCTTGGCTTAGAAAATACATTCTAAGCAAAATCTACATTGACTCAATTTATAGTTAATAATGCAGGTGTACTAAAATTGGGAAATTTAAAAGCAATCTTTTTCCTACTTTCTATTCAAATTATGCTTTTTCAGCTTAATGCTTTTAAAGAGAGTGGTCTAGTATCAACATGCAGAATCTGTAATTTGTACATCCTTTGATATGTCACCCTAAGTTCTCATTGCAAACATTCTTTTACTATAATAGACAATATAATTTCATATATTATACCTACTTTTTCTCTTTCAAGTTCATCCTTGTTTTCCTCTGATTTTAAGTGTGAGTTACTCAGTTTCTAAGTTAGCTTGATATTAGCTATGAAATACTTTACACAAAAAAGTCACTAGACACCAGAGGCAAAAGCAGATAACCAGAATAGAAGCTGTCAACTACAGGAAGCATTTTTCTCTTTCACTGTTTTAACTTTGGAAACATTAATTATTTATCAGGACCATGTGAAAATCATAGAATCTAATATTTACTCATAGTTCACAATATAGACAGCTTATTAACATATTTATCTAAATAAATGCATTTGTCTAACTTAGAATCACACACATATACAATCTATAAATACCACAGTAAATGTAAAGGTCTCCCCAACTCCTTCCCTCCCTATATTCTTTTCCTAGGGCTACAGTAACAAATTAGCACAAACTGAGTATCTTAAAACCACAGAAATTTATTCTCTCACAGTTCAGGAGGCCAGAAGTCTGAAATCAAGATGCTGTCGATGTCAGTTCCTTCTGGAGGCTCTGAGGAAGAAACCATCTTGCCTCTCCCCTAGTTTCTGGTGGTTGCCAGCTCTCCTGGGTATTCCTTGGCTTGTAGACTCATCCCTCCAATGTCTGCCTCCATCTTCACATCACTTCTTCTGTGTCACTCTGTGTCCTCTCTTATCAGGACTCCAGTCATTGAATAAAGAGCCCTAAATGGCCCACTGTACATCCAATATGATTTCATCTCGAGATCCTTAACTAATCACATCTGTAAAAGATCCTGTTTCCAAATAAGGTCACATTCACAGGTACCAGGGGTTAGGACTTGAACATGTCTTTTTTGGGGGAAACACACAGTTCAACCCACTACATTCCCTATAGAAGGAAGTTTAATTCAAATTGGAAACAATTTGGCATAGCTCTCTTTTTATATTTGGAAAAATGATAATCAATTTGAATTAATCTAAAGTACAAGTGTTAGAAATTGGTTTTATTTCTATGGACTCATTCTATCCTTACTCTCCTGTAGTACAATTTCATTCACTTTACCTTTTGTCCAATTTGAATATAATGTACATTTTTAGCAGGCCCAGTACATAACTTTATTTAATTGTGTCTTTCTAGAAGGTGGACAAGGGCATTGTCAACAGACTATACCTGTCTTTTGTCCTTTATTCCTTGCTCAAAGAGACCAACATTTGGAGTGTGTCTGAAAAATTTAATATGCCTCGAGGATATGTACAAAATCTTCTCACTGGAGCTGCCTCATTCTCATCTTGTGTGTTACATTTCTGTGAGGTAATTCCCTTAAATTCCATACTTTGTGCATCTTCTTGTTTTAACTGTTAATAAACTCATAAACCAGTTAGTATTTTCTGACTGTTGACTTATTCTGTCATTACAAAGCACTCAAAATTTATTTAAAATATATCTTTGCTTTTATCTGCTTACAAAAATACTATATACATACTTATGGTAAAGATACAAAAATGACAGGATCAACTAAAATATATAATGAACAAGTAGAAATCATCAAGTTATCCCTACTCTTAGAAGCACCATTAATATTTTCAAATATTTGGAATCAACTCTTAGAAATGACGTTTCCCCATTGATGGATGTTCTGTGTGAGTGTCTTTCTCATGAGTGATAACTGTGTCAAGTATTTGATTACCAATATCCAACAGCTACCTTGTGACTGCCTGGTACCATGTTCTCTTGATTGCCACAGAAATTTGCCATTTTTGCTTCTAATGTCAGGCAGCTACTTTAGATTTCTACATCAAATGTTTAGTTTATAAAATAACTCAAGAAGAAAATGTTATTTTGGCCATCTGCCTTTGGGATGGATTTGTTAAAGACTACTAAAAGAAGCTTTCAGAATTTCCTTAAATGACACAACAAAGCTTACCAGACTTTTCTAACCAGATAATTTTTTGATGAATTTATAATATAAGCCATTTTTGGTGCATTTAAATTTCTTCTTTGTGGGTGGCATAATAATTCTTTCCATATTTGTTTCTACACTTAATTTTTTTTAACTTTTTTTCCCTATGAATTTACTTTTAAACTTAAAATCTACTTTATTTGCTCTATCTTAAACCTCTACATTCTGTGTATGTATATGGCAATTAATTATCATACCTGCCAATGGAGTAAATAATTCAAAAATACTTCACTTTGGATTGAATGATAATTATTTTAGCAAATTTACCTTTCTAAATATCTTTTATCTATGCTGATTTTTTTAATATTAGCTTACACTCCCTAATTACACACTGACTAAGCAGTAGACAAAAATTGTAGGGGCCAGCCCAGTGGCGTAGTGGTTAAGTTTGCACGCTCTGCTTCGGCGGCATGGGATTCGCAGGTTCGGGTCACGGGTGCAGACCTGCACATCGCTCATCAAGCCATGCTGTGGCAGCATCCCATATACAAAATAGAGAAAGATTGGCACAGATGCTAGCTCAGCAACAATCTTCCTCAAGCAAAAGAGGAGGACTGGCAATGGATGTTAGCTCATGGCCAATCTTCCTCACCAAAAAAAAATTGTAGATAATGAGGAGAAGCTAGCCTTTAAAATGTATTTTCTATGTTTGTGGGTCTTTATATTTATAGATGCTTTTGCTAATAGTCTGTCCCTTTGTTTTACTTAGGACTATAAGGACTTGAGCCTTATAGAATTGTTCAAGTAAAAGAATCTATGTGTTGAACTTGAAAACCAACTCTAATTTGATGGTTGATCCTAGGATCAATCTACATGACAACTTGTGTTCTCAAGAATGTATTTTCAATAATTTAAAGTGTTTTTTTCTTTTTAAAAATTATGTAAGTGGTATAAAATAGTATACCAATCATATTAGTTAAGATACTTTTAACTACAAGTAACAGAAAAACCCCTTAGAAGTTTAAACAATAAGGAAAAGTGATTATCTTATGCAACAGGAAAGCCAGAGCTAAGATAGTTCCATAGTTGATCAATTCAATAGTTCTATTCAAGGTTTTGTTTTCCTTTTTTTTTTACTCTGCCATCTTTAGTGCATTGACTGCTTTCCTAGTGGTCACAAAATGGCCAGCCTAATGCTGTTCCATGTATCATACACTCTCACAATGATACCCAAATGTTAGAAAGGAAACTTAAAAAAAAGATAAACTACTCTTATAGAAAATTTTGAACATATGTATAAAAGAAGACAAAGTAGTATAATGAATACCCATTTACCCACCAGCTTTAATGATTATCAACTCATGGCTTCCAATTTTTATTATTTGAAATATTGCTGCACTGAGCATCATGTTGCATATCAATCCTTCTATATTTAATATTTTGGCTTCAGGATAAATTTCCAAAGGGAGGAATTGTTTTCAGTCATTTGGGAAAGAAAAACTATTCATTCACTTCCTGATGTTTTGATAAAGATGAATAGAGCTCTTCTTGTTGACCTGTTTTTCCATTTTCAATCTTTTTCCTCATCCCAAAACCAGTTCATCAAATTCCTCAGAGTCTCTGCCATGTTTCCTCATAAGAATTTTGCTTGGGATCATTGTTCATCTCTGGCTTAATACGAGTTCCAGAACTTACATAAGGGAACATCCAACCATACAAACTCAACTTTGCAATAACTTGCCAGCTTTAAATTTTGTATATTTCTTTGTGTTCTGCAGGAACTTGAGGAGTTTTGGGTTTATAGAGCCCTTTTGGTAGAACTTACCAAGAAGCTGACCTACTGTGTGAAGGCAGAGCTGATCCCTCTCATGGAAGTGACTGGAGTTTTAGAGGTTAGTAGCTTCCCAGTTTCCCAATCGAGATGATTTCAACTAACAGAAACATTATACTTTTTTAGTAAATTGCTGCCATGGCCTGCCAGAAATCCCTTGTTAATCTGAACGTAGTCCTGATGAAAAATCACATTTGTGAAAAAAAACAACAGTAGGTTTAGGGGCGACTCTCTTCAGATATGTGTGTGCTACCACTCGTCCTTAGCATCTCTTCCTTCCTCCATTCCAACGAAGAATTACCTCTGTTAGTTTAGACTCAGTGCTTCTTTATGGTAGTAGTGATCACATGGTAACAAGGCTTATTTACATTTCCTAAGAGAGTGAGATGAGAGTATCCTCAGCTGTTTTTCAGCTTTCTGTTTTTGGCCAACCCTTGATTTTAGTTTATTCTCTGTTATTCAGTTCTTGAATCAGAGGACTTCTTCTGCTTGGGAAGACACACACACACAAATACACCAGGAGTCCCCTGAGTAAATAATCAGAACATTTTTAGGATACTGGACCAGAACATTTTATTTGAGGGTCTGAAATAATAAACGTTTTGTTTGTGTCCATCCCAGGACCTGGCAGATGTGGCTGCTCAATAAATATTTGTTGAAAGATAAATAATAATAATAATGAAATAATGCCCCCAGCCTAAGTGCCTTATTGGGTTTCTCATTCCTGATTGCAGCACACATCAGTTGACTAAAGCTGCACAGAAAGCTATCTTTTTTTTTTTTTTTATAATTTGATTTATTTATTTTTTCCCCCAAAGCCCCAGTAGATAGTTGTATGTCATAGCTGCACATCCTTCTAGTTGCTGTATGTGGGACGAGGCCTCAGCATGGCTGGAGAAGCGGGGCGCGTCGGTGCACGCCCGGGATCCAAACCCCAGGCCACCAGCAGCGGAGCGCAGGCACTTAACCGCTGAGCCACAGGCCGGCCCTCACAGAAAGCTATCTTGCTGTCTGACTGGAACCACCCAAAGGCGTCTTTTTAAATTCCTCAGGATTCTGATATCTCTCTTCTTATCTACTTTATTATCTTAGTTTATTCCTGTCTCTTGCATGTGAATTTTTTCCCTTCAATAGGACACTTAATTTTTTTTTCCTAATCTCAATTTCTGATCCCACTGGTTTTTGTAATACTTTTCAGGGTCGAGCAAAACAATTATACAATGCAGGTTATAAAAGTCTAATACATTTAGCTAATGCAAATCCTGAAGTGCTAATAAGGACAATTGATCATTTATCAAGACGCCAGGCGAAGCAAATTGTTTCATCAGCAAAGGTAAGCAAACAAACCATTTTTTAACCTTTATGATATTTTGCAGTGTTATCTCCTTATGCTTTAGACATAAAAACAAAAACATTTAACTATAGACACAAAAGTGTATATTTACAATATGTGGATAAAAATAGTGCATCTGTAATTATACAAGGCTTGCTAACAAAAGAAAGAGGACCTTCTAAAAAATAAAGACAATTTCAAGAGTTCATCAAAGTTCAGGGAACTCTGGAGCTCATTGAGTTCTGCCTCCTCACACCCTTTTCACAGAAGTCCTTTCCTTAGCATCCCCAACATCTGCTCTTCCCACCTTTGAACACCTTCCTTGACAAGGAGCTTACAACCTCAAAAATTACGTAGTTCTATTTCTGGACACTTTTAGTGTTACAAAAAGCATCCTAATATAATGAGGCTCAATTTTGCCTTCTTAAAATGTTCACCACTGCATCGTAATACTGCCCTCTGGAGCTAGTCTATTCCTTTGTTCCTAGGGTAGTTTTTCACACATTTGAAAACAGCTCTCTTTGCCCCCAGGATTTCCCTTTTCTGTTTCTTTTATCCGTATCAAATAATCTAGTTGTGGGCCATTCACCATACCAGTTACCCTTTTGCTAGATGCAGTCCGGTTTGTTTGTCGTTACCCTTCTGCTCCATGGGGGTAAAGCCATTACACAGCAGCTTGAGATTATTTCCTTCTTGATCTCAACTATAGTTCTACACTTGTAGCCTGAAATTACTTAGCTTTTTTTTAAACTTCATTGTTACACTGTTGTCCTATATAGATCAGAATTAGCTAACAAGTAAATTTTCATCTTTTTTGAATAGTGCACACGTTATTTATATTGCCTAAATTGATCTTTACAACAGTCCTATGAGGTGAGCAGAGTTGGTGTTATCCTCAATTTACAGATAGGGATGCTAAAACTGACCTTGTTCCATTAGATTAGAAGTTCTTAGTGTTGGTGGGGAAGAAGTTGTAGTCATTACCATTGCAATAGCACCTAGCACAGTACTCAGCCTGTAACAGGTGTTTAACAAATATGTGAGTGAATAAATAAATGAGATTTAAAGAAATTAAGTGATTTACCCCCGGACACAGAGCTAGTCAGTAAGTAGTAGAGCCAGTACTATGGAGTTAGACTAGTGCACACTAGTGGAGTCCATAAGGATGACCAAAATAAGTGACTTTAAATTTTAAAAGTTTATTAGACAAGTTCAGGCATAAGCAGTTCACAGCTGATATGGAAATCAGTAGTGTATCCAGGGACCCATGCTCCTTCTGTCTCATTGCGCAGCCATTCTCCATACATGGCTTCCATCTTATGAACTAAGATACATGCTCTGGTTCTCACAACCCCTTCTGCTTTTCAGCCAGCTTGAAAGAATAAAATGGATATTTCTCACAGGATAGTTAGTAGAGGAGTAAGTTAGAGGTTGCAAATAGGGGAGAGAGAATGGAAATAAGGAAACCAGTTAGGATTATATTGAGGTTATACAGTTTTTTTGCATAAATGCCACAAAAATGATATGTGTCCTTCCTAGTACATCGTATCAGGAGCCACCAGATGTCAGTTTGTCCCATGACTGATATTAACTTTGATCATTTTGTTAAGGAAGTGTCGTCTGGCAAGTTTCTCCAGTGTAAAGTTACTGTTTTTCCCCTTGTAATTAGTATTTTGGGAGTGGACACTTTGAGGCTAGGTAGATATCCTATTCTTCATCAAACTTGCACACACTTGTTTTAGCATCCACCGATGATTTTTGCCTGACTCATTTGTTTCTATGATGTTTGTCAATGTGATTTTCTAACCCTGTTATTCCTTCTACATTTATTTATTGGTACTTTAGTATGAGGAAAAGCTTTTCATTCTTCATTTATTTATTCATTCATATGTTTATATCAGAATGAACCATGGTTCATACTTATTCAATTACTGTCATTACTTTTTTTGGTGCTCAAATGAGCTCCGATTTCGCCAGCAGAAGCCCCTGAAAGCCGGTTCCTTTGTCTTTTTGACCTGTCCCCATCATGACTGGAGCACTGGTCTAATCATTAGGAACAGAAACCACACAGTAATGGGTGGAATGGGAAAGTTTAATATAAAGAATTAGTAACTAGTAACAGAGGTTACTATTTGGCTTCCAAGAGGTAAACAGAACTTTAAAGAATGCAGGAAGAAATCATGAGAGAGGGTCCACCCCCACCCCACATTACCCCCTATGGATGGGGTTCAGCCTTCACTGGAGAAGGTGTGGCTGTGGCCCACTAGACAGCAGTTCATTGCAGTGTTACAGCCAAGTCTGGCAAGCAGGAAACTGCCCACTAAGGTGCCAGCAAAACTGCCAGGAAGCTCCCTGAGTGTGCTGTTGAGCTTGCTTGGAGGCTAACTTAAGTGCTCATGGAACTCCCTGAGAAGCTGTCTGCCAGGGTACTGTTGAAACTCACTGTAATGAGTGCCACCGGATGTTCAGCATACTAGACAAGCACTGCAGGAGCCATAGAAAAAGGAGGGAAGCAAAAGAGGGAAGAAACTCCTTCCTCTTATAGTCTCTCCAGTGCCCTCTATTGACAAAGCTTAATATTATACCAGCTGGCAAAGGAGAAACATATACAGGATCCAGCTCTAGTATCTCCAGCAGGACAGTGAGGGATGGATTTGGAGCTGAGAAGCAATAAAAGTAATAACCAGCGCTCTGGCACAACAAGGTGTTCCAGATTCAGCTTGTATTTCCCTTGCCATAGCCATGGAATCACCCATTTTTCCAAAGAGCCCTGGTTCCTTTTAGTGAAGAGGGGTCTTTAGAAACCCAAGTTTTAGGGGCTAAGTATGCTCGTTACCAGACAGATATGTCATTGCTCTAGGTTCTCTCGGAAGACAGAGGCCACATGTGTCTATATATTTTTCTATACTTTTTGTGTGTGTGTGAGAGGAAGATCAGCCCTGAGCTAACATCCGATGCCAATCCTCCTCTTTTTTTTTTTTTGTTTTGGCTGAGGAAGACTGGCCCTGAGCTAACATCCATGCCCATCTTCCTCCACTTTATATGGGATGCCGCCACAGCATGGCTTGACAAGCAGTGCATTGGTGTGCAAACGGGAGCTGAATCACGAACCCTGGGCCGCCGAAGTGGAGGGCGCGCACTTAACCACTTGCGCCACCGGGCCACCCCCAATATGTATTTTTCTATACTTATATATAAATTATGAAAGGCTGTGAGCTCATACTGATAATTCTGATTCTAATTTTTCCAGATACGTGCTGCTGCATAACAAAGTTTTACCCCAAAAACTTAGTGGCTTAAAACAGCTATTTTATTCTGCTCATGTTTTTGTGTATTAGGAATTCTGGAAGGGTTCAGCTGGGTGATTCTCACTTGGAGTCTCATGCAGTTACAGTCAGATTATGACTGGAGCTGTAGTCCTGTGAGGGCTTGACTGAACTGCATATCCAATATTCCATGTATGTGGCTGGCAGTTGAAAATTGGTTGTCATCTGGGGCTTTCAACTGGAGGAACTACATATGGCCTTTCCATGGGGCTTGGGTCTCTCATAGCATGGCAACTAGGTTTTGAGAGGAAATGTTCAGAGAGTGAGCATTTCAGGAGATCAAGGCAGAAAATGAACTAACCTAACCTCAGAAGTTGTGCAGTTTCACTTCTGCCACATACTGATGGTTACTAGAGGGCCATTAAGATCAGCCCAGATTGCAAGGAAGGGGAATTAGACCCCCACCTCTACATACGGGGAGTGTCAAATAATTTTCAGTCACCTTTAATGTCTGCCTTCTAGTCACAAATTATTTACATTTCTCCCACATGCAAAATATACTCACCCCCAAAAGATTTACTCCTTTATGGCATCAGACTCAGGCTCAAGGTCCAGTATTTCTTCTAAAGCAGGTCCAGGTACAGGTGATGCTCCTTGAGTACAATTTCACAAGTATAGTTTCTGTCAATCTAAAGACCTGTGAACTAAAGAGATACCACATACAATGGTGAAACAAAGATAGGATAACCACTGTACACTTCCCTTCAAAAATAGGGAAAATGGGTGGTACACAGCAGCAAATCTGAATTCCAACCAGGCATGCGTGGCCATTTCCTTGATTAGGACCCAGTTCTGCTCCCTGGGAATGATTCTTCCTGGCCCATATTTGCAGCCAGGTAGCTTTCTTAGTCTGCTTCCTGTCTGTAGAAGTTGTAGGGTTCAAAGGTTCTTTTTATTTTGTACCATCTCTCTGTCTCTTTTTATTCAATCTGGTTTAATTTCTTTTAAAACATTGTGGGTTTCTTATTTATCTATTTATAATCCCATGTAGCTTGGGTTTCTTACAGCATGTTTGCTGGGATCTGAGATGGAGCATTCAAGAGACCTTGGAAAGGTCTCATTCCAAGAAACCAAGGCAGAAACTACAAGACTTCTTTTGACTGAGCCCTGGAAATCATGCAGCATCGTTTCCACTGCGTTCTATTAGTTACAAGTGAATCACCAAGGCCAGCACAGGTTCAAGAGGAGAATTGGATCCTGTCTCCCCATGGAGGTGTCAAAGAATTTCCAGTCATCTTTAATCCACCACACTAATCCTGCACTGCAGGACTCATTATAGTCTTTCCCCTTCTCTTTCTTTTTTGGTGAGGAAGATTGTCCCTGAGCTAACATCTGTGCCAGTCTTCCTCTACTTTGTATGTGGGATGCCTCCACAGCATGGCTGGATGAGCAGTGCATAGGTCTGTACCTGGGATCCAAACCAGTGAATCCTGGGCTGCTGAAGCAGAGCGCACGAACTTAACCACTACGCCACCAGGCCAGCCCCTCCTTCTCATATTTTTAGTTCCTTTCTCCAACAGTAAGAAATCTAGCTCCTATTTTCATCAATATATTTATCTATTTTGCTCAATCCTAGAATGCACTGAAAATAATTTCAAAATTGTTAAAGCATACCATTGCAAAAAGCAAACTTACTAACTTGAGTTCAGTATTTTATTTACAGATCTTTTTGTCCTTAGTCTGAGAATATATAATTGAAACAATGTGTTTAAGTGTTGCTTTTTTTTAATTTGCTTCAGTTGTGGTTATGTTACTCATTTCAAATACTGTTAGATTCTGTTTGTATTCCATTTTAGTCCCCGACCCTCCCAGTCCTTATGAATTTTTTTTGAGTTTATAAAACATTTATGTATTTTCTTTATCTTTAAATTGAAATAGTTTTACAAGGATAATATCTTTATTTTCTTTTATTTCTGGAAGTTTTCCTAGGTTGCAGTTTTAAATATTAGCTCTAATCCATTTTTCAATTTTTCTTCTTTAGCAATTCCAATTATATGTATGTTGGGTCTTCTTTGCCCATTTCAGTCTCTCTGACCCTTTTTACTTCTTTCTTTATCTCATTTTCATTTTCTTGATTGTTTTCCTGCTTTTTTTCTAATCACCATAATTAGGTTTTTAGTCAAATTTGTTCTTCCTTAGGTACCTCATTACTTAGTTCTTATTTCTGTTATGATTTTGCCTTTTTCCTCTATTGCTTTCCTGAGCTTACTCAACTTTTGTTTCATTTCTTTTTGTTTCTGGTCCATTTCTGTTCTTAGTTCTTGGACTTCTTATTCAGGGTATGTTTTTCTCCCCATATCTCCAAATGTTTATTTGAGAATATTTAATTCAGTTTGAAGTGTCGCATTACAGTTTTTCTTCTTCATGATTTGCTTTCAGGAAAGGAAATTTTTATGAGCTGAAGTGCTTTGAGTCTCTCTTTTTTTAAAAAACATATATAGTAGTTTTGTATAGATGAGAACTGCTTCTCTATTTCTTGGACAGGGGTAGCCATCTGGAGTGGTTTATGAGAATCCTAGTTTATGAATAGATTTATAAGTGTCTCTTCTGTCAGTGTAGCAAAGTACAGTTTCTTTAATGGATGGCTTCGGATGGGAGAGGAGTGCAAAGAGATGTTGTATTCTTTGATTTTTTAATTTCCTTTTTGTCCTACAGGATCCTTAATTTTGCCCTCTTATTTCTTTTTCCCCTCACTGCTCATCTTCCAAAGAGCACCTCTCCCTTTTTATCCATTCTCTCCCTCAGAAGTGTTGCCTTTCCAAGACTGCCTTCTAGAGTTCTACACACTTTAAATCCCTTCTTATAAACAATGGTTTAATCTACCTAGATTCTTTTCTCAGTAATTTTGTACTTGGTAGCCTTTCTCTCTCTGGAGGTGACTTTATTTAATCGTAGACCCTCTGTTCCCCTCTTCTCTTTTCCATGTAGTTTTTTCTCAACCCCACCTTCATCTCTGCAAACACTTGGAGTGGGAGCCTGACAAATGGCTCTGCTGGAAAGTGGTGGGTTTCTTCAACTACAAGTAATTTGAGGTTGATGGTGGTCTCTGTGTTCTAGTAATGCTGACACATGAGTTTTATGTGGTTTACTTGTTGTTCTTGTTGATCTGTATAGTTTTTAGAGGATGTGTTGGGACATTCATTTTACATGGTCACCATTACCTTAGCTATTGGAAAACTTACCTAATTACATTTTAATCTCTTTTATGTATAATGCTGTGTAATGCTATGTTTTATATCAAATTGGTAGAAAGTGGTTTTTTTCACTTGCACTTTGTGTCATATGATGTTTTTTTCTCTGTTATTTTGCTAAACTTTTTATTATACAAATTTTGTAACAGAATTAATGAAAATACTTCACCCCAAAATACACAAAACCCAGCTGTAACAAATACCAACATTTTATTTCTGATTTTTAGAAGAAAGGGGAAAAAATTATTGTTCAGCTATTCATTGACATCTACTATGTGCCATGTTTAGAAATACTTTCTTTGCTCATTTTGAAATGACCATGTTAATTTTAGGACTTGAATAAAACTTTTCTCTGAAACACTGATGGGTTTTTAAAAGATAGCATACTAAATTTTGAGAAATAATAAAATGTGTATAAAAAGGATAATATTTTCAAGAGCTAATTAAATTTTTGCAAAATTGTCTTAGATTTTATAGATTAAAAGTTAATTTTTAAGTGGCTGAGTCTTCAATAAAACAAACCTTCGAGAGTATTACAGCTCCTTTATTTTTGATATACTAAATGCAGTGATCAGCTAAAGTGGCTCTAACTAAATGCCTCAGCTTCATTTAATAGAATCACTTGTTCTTAACTGGCCATTTTTCAATTTCATTTTTAGTTTTAATGTGTAGATTGCTGATATGTAAGGATTCAGGTATCTAATAGACGGTGGTAAAATGTTAGCAATTCTCTAGCAATGAATATTTGACCTCATCTCTTAGTTTTTTTTCTCGTAGATGCTGTTGCATGAAAAAGCAGAGGCTTTGCAAGAAGAAGCTGAAGCGTTACTGAGATTGCCTCCTGATGTCCCTGGTATTGTGGCCTCTTCCGTTGAAAAGGCATGAAGCTATCCGATGAGCATTTTCAAATATGAATTATTTATTGTACATATGTTTTATTAAAGATTTCCTATAATTTATAAATGAAAAAATATATTTTAATTAGACATTAAGAATTATGGATGATGTTTGAATTACCTCTCACCCGTAATTGCAGTAACCTTCCCACTAGTAATCCCTCTTCTTCAGTACTTACACATTATTCCTTTGCTCAAAAATCTGTAGTGTCCACTGCAAAATGAAATCTAACTTCCTCAACGTCTCTCCAGCCTACCTTTGTAGCCAGATCCTTCATTATTCTCTTATCCATTTCTTTCATCAAACTGCACTATTTGAAATCCCCATAATTTTCCCTGGGATTTCCAAACCTTCCATTTCTTAACTGCTTTACACTATTCCCAATGCATGGAAAATTATCTTTGAAATGTCCTCTGTACTTCAAATGTCAACTAAAAATGCTCAAATACTGTCTCCTCTGTAAAATAGTCCAAGTTCATCCTCATCCCCACCCCATATGTGGGATGCTCTTTCCCTCCTGTAAGTATTGTGAGCCCATCATTTAGACCTGTATCTTTTTTGATGCTACTAGTTTGTAATCCCCTGGAAGGCCGAGATCTTTTTTATCGTCTTTGTGTGCCACACAGCACATACCACAGTTCACTGGACAAAGTAGGAACCTCTGTGAAGAATGAATACTACCCAAATCAACGATTTGAAGATGCTCTTTAAACACTTTAAATATTCCCTTTCCCAGTCCATTTTTAGATTTACAACTCAAATGACTGGTCATCTACGGGAAAAAAGGTAGTAACTAGCAATATGTATGAGTACTGAACTGGTTTGGTTAAAGTTCTACTCATCCATTGGAAACTTTGCAGATAGATCCACAGTCTAAGTTTTGTGCCTTAACATTTTAGACCTTTACAATATAGTAGTCATTTACCTAGTAATTTCTATGTGCCAGGCACTGTTGTAAGTGCTTTATGTGATTAATCCTTACAACAACCCTATAAGGCAGGAACTATTATTATCCCCACATTACAGATGAGTCAACTGAGACACAGAGACACTAAAGTAACTTGCCTGAGGTCGTGTTCTAGTTATTGCAGAGCAGGGATTCAGATCCAGGCAGTTCCAATCTAAAGTCTGTGCACTTAACTGTTAGACAATATTGTCTTGCTAGAATTTGCCCATTTTATCCCTTCCTAAGTGTTCCTTTCATCTGGCCTTCATTTTATCTCCAGCATTACATCCCATCATTCACTTCAACCCCATCCCTACATCTCTTTACATGAGTCAAAGTGTGACATCTTAATGTCTTAGTAGAACCTTGGGCTTGATTGCACATATTCTGTTTATTGCAGCTAAAAAGATTATAAAAGAGCAGCTGGCTTGCCTGCTGGCTCCTTGGGCCCTGCCACTGAGATGTGCTCACAGTGGTCCATAGTCTAGTCTTCCGTTTTTTTTTTTAATGTGGAAACCCCAGTTTTATTAGTTTGCCTAAGAAAGTAAGGCTATAAGTGAGCCCTGATTCTTGCTAAGCAATTTATGAGACTGATGAATAATCCCAACTTAATTTATTAATTTAAGATTGGAGATGGCAGGGTTGGAGGGGTACCTTTACAGAAACCTGTAACTGCAGTCCAGGACAGTCTCCCCCCACCGCAATCAGTGCCTCTCCATGTCAGTCTACTGAAGGGCTGTATGAAGTGTAATGATTGGGGATCAGCCCTAACAGATCCTAAGATGCAAAGAAATTGAAACAGCTCAGCTCTAGAGAAGAAAAGTAGGAACAGAGTGGAGAATGAAAATAGAATCAAATATATTTAAGAATTTAATAATAAACGTAGTTTCTCAGTTTCAAGTGATAGAAACCCAAGTATATCTAGTTTAAACAAAAAGGAATATTTAGCAGCCACATTCTCAAACCACGGCAGCGATAGAACTTGCTCTGAGGCCAAACCCTCAGCAGATTACCAAGCAGAACAGGGATCCTCAGATACGGGGTTGTACAGACAACCAAGAATCACCAAATATAATTATGAGTAAAGTCAAAACCATAAAAGACAGCAATTCAGTGAGGAATCAATATCTAAGGAGACAATGGATAGAGCAACAGATCAAGGTTTTAGAAAAAGCATAATTAATATCTTGGGGCAGATGCTAGATCGAAGATAAAAATAAGATCAAGAATATTTTGATCAAGGCCAGCCTGGTGGCTTAGCGGTTAAGTGGTCGAGCTCCGCTGCTGGCGGCCCGGGTTCGGATGCCGGGCACGCACCGATGCACCGCTTCTCCGGCCATGCTGAGGCCACGTCCCACAAACAGCAACTAGAGGGATGTGCAGCTATGACATACAACAATCTACTGGGGCTTTGGGGAAAAAAAGGAGGAGGATTGGCAATAGATGTTAGCTCAGAGCCAGTCTTCCTCAGTAAAAAGAGGAGGACTAGCATGGATGTTAGCGCAGGGCTGATCTTCCTCACAAAAAACAAACAACCAAAAAAAAATATTTTGATCAAAATGAAAAACTTAGTAGATGGGTGGACTAGCAGGAAGAGCCAACTAGTAATTTCCAGTTTGAGCTGAAGAATTCTCCCGAGATGCATAACCAAAGAACAAAAAATTGCAAACTATGAAAGAAAACAACCAAAGGCATAGAGGAGAGATCCAGACACTGGAGTGTCTGTCTCATAGGCATACCAGAGAGAGAGAACTGAGAGTCTGACCCGGAGAAAACAATACTAGATATAACTTCCCTGAAGCTGATGAACAACTTAGAAAGGACCCACCAGTTGCTGACCCATACCTAGACACATTGTCATGAAAAATCAGAACACACAGCAGAAAGCTTCCAGAGGAGAAAAAGGAAAAAAGATTACAATTCAAAGTAAGAATTATATTAACATCTGTTTATCAGCTGCACTGAAAGACAATAGAGCCATATCTTCAGAGTTGTGGAAAATAATCTATGCTCCTCAGTCTAGCGATAAAAGAAACATTTTGAAACATGCAAGGACTTAGAAATCCTCTCTGAGACTCCAGACTAAAATATCAGAGAAAATAAACAAACTTTTTAAAGCCATTTTGTTTGGGGGGAATTTTTAGCACAGCAGTTTATCCTTTTCCCTAAGGATATGACTTATTGGGACCTTGTGCCTGTTCTTCATTGACTGCAGATATCACCATATCTATCATAAAATAGAAGCTATTTTAGCACAATACAGAAAGATCAGCTTCAAAGGAAAATAATTTATGACTTCACCTTCCATACCTAACCTGGAATAAGAATATGTCCGTTTCCAAGAACAGTTCTGATGTTAGCTTTGTATCTATGAGGCAGTCTCCACTGTCTAGTAATAATAGTGATATAAATAAGGTAGAAAATGTCCAGAATGAAGAAAGGCTAGGAGCCAAATCACTATTTCTCTGCTATTTTTAAAACATGTTCCCAGGTATGAAGATCACAAGAGATGCCAATATTGACAAGCAATGGCTTTTCAATGTTCCTGTTGTAAAAATGTAGGGTCTATCAGGTTTAGACAATGGATTCACTCAGAAGTTCCTGAAAGGCATTAACACATGTGAGAAAAGACGGAGGGTTGAAGCTGACTGAATTGTACCAGACTACATGAAATGAATGCTTAGTTTTCTGAGAGCCGTACTCTCCAGGCAGCTGGAATGATCACAGCAAAACACTGGATGACTGTTTTCTGCTATTCACTGCACACCAGCAAGGGGCCCAACACCACCTGTGGAGATGTATGAGGTGCCTTGCCCACTGAGTGGGGGACACTGAGCTCTCTTTCGTCCCTTATGATTGTGTTTAGAATGTTCCAAAACAAACTGGGTGTGATGAATTAGCGTGCTTCATTTCCTTCATTTTTCATAGTTAAAATGGTCTTTTGATCCTTTTCTTCAGTAAGTAGTTACCCAAATGATATGTGGCCATTTGGAGTACTTCTTGGAGATGTGGTAATTGTCTTTCAGGAGAACGTCTGTATGTAACATATAAAAATTCTGCTATTTAAGTTATTACTATCCCTTTAGAGGAAATGAGTGGCTTTGCTCTAGCTGAACCAAACGTATTAGATGATTAAACCTCCCCAAAATGAGATGTATGCACAGAGCTGGCAGTAGGAGCTTTAGTGTCAGGTCTGCACTGAAACAAATGAACCTGGCAGTGCAAGTTAATATACTTGTAGCATCTGGTGGTTAAAATTTGGTACATTATACATTTGAGTATGTGTTTCATTTCTTCTGAGTATTTTAAATAATTAACCTATTTTTGTTGTTTTAAGAATTTTAACTCAAAGACAAATACTGTATGTTCTCACTTATATGTGGAATCTAAAAAAGCAACTCATAGAAACAGAGTAAACTGGTGGTTGCCAGGGGCTGGGGAAATGGGGAGATGTTGGTCAGAGGGTACAAACTTTCAGTTATAGGATGAATAACTTCTGGGGATCTAATGTACAGCTTGGTGACTATAATTAACAGCACTGTATTGTATACTTGAGAGTTGGTAAGAGAGTAGATCTTAAATATTGTTACCACACACATACACAAAAGGGTAGTTATAAGAGGGGATGGAGGTGTTAACTAACCTTATTGTGGTAATCATTTCACAATATATACATGTATCAAATTATCACATTGGACACCTTAAACTTACATATGTTATATGTTAATAATATCTCAATAAAGCTGGACAAAAAAGAATTTTAACTCAAATGTGCATGATACCTGGTGTGGTAGGCAGAATACTTAGCCACCCCCCTCACAGAGATCCACCTCCTAATCCCCAGAAACTATAAATATGTCATGTTACCTGGCAAGGGGGAATTAGGGTTGTAATGGAATTAAGGTTGCTAATCAGCTGACCTTGAGATGGAGAGATTATGCTGAATTATCTGGGTGGGCCTGATGTAGTCACAAAGCTCCTTGTGAGGGAAAGAGGGAGACAGGAGAGTCAGGGTCAGATATGACACGACAGACTCAGCCAATCACTGCTGGCTTTGAAGATGGAAGGGGCCTCAAGTCGAGGAATGCAGGCAGCCTCTGGAAGCAGGAGAAAGCAAGGAAGCGGATTCTCTCCTTGA